ACCTGGTGACTTCCTTCGGGCTGCCTACAGACACCTGGGACCTGGCTAGCTTCCACTGGGCTACCCACAGGCACCCAGGACCCATGCTGGCTTCCCTCCAGTCCTGGCTTTATCAGGAAGGATATACAAAATGATGTCTGGTCTAATTAGCATATTACCATTTTATTATTATAGATACTAGAGGCATGGTACATGAAATTCATGCACTGGGGGGGGGGGGGGACGGGGTCCCTCAGCCTGGCCTTCACCATCTCACAGTCGAGAAGCCCTCGGGGGATGTCTGACTGATGGCTTAGGTCTGCTCCTCACAGGGAGCTCCTCACAGGGAGCAGGCCTAAGCCATCAGTTGGAAATCCTTAGCACTGCTGTGGAGGTGGGAAATGCTCCCACCACTACCACTGAGAAGCCCAGCCATGAGGCCAGCTTCTGGCTGAGAGGCGCTCCCCCTGTGGGAGCTCATTGACCACCAGGGGACAGCTCCTGTGTTAATTGTCTGTCTCCTGGTGGTCAGTGTGCATCATAAGGACCAGTGATTCCACCTCCACTGTTCTGTGGATTTGCATATGAGCCTTTTATTACATAAAAGAATAATAACTGTATTTGCAAAACATGACCACATACACAATTGTTTTTAGTTCTGGAAGAAAGAAGATTGAGTGTACTTAATATCGGGAGAGAGTGTGTGTGTCTGCATGATTAATAATTTTCTTTTCATTTCCTATATAGAAGAACATTTTATACATTGAGGCTTTATTTATTTCTATCTATTCCATATGTGAAAATTTATTTATTTTTATTTTTTATAATATACTTTATTGATTTTTTTACAGAGGGGAAGAAAGAGGGATAGAGAGTTAAAAACATCAATGAGACAGAATCATCGATCAGCTGCCTCCTGCACACCCTTTATTGGGGATGTGCCTACAACCAAGGTACATGCCCTTGACCGGAATTGAACACTTCAGTCCTCAGGATGACACTCTATCCACTGAGCTAAACTTTGTAGGTCCGGAAAATTTTTTAATAACCTACTTAGTATATTTTGCATAGCAAGATAAATTAATATTAATGAATAATTTTTGGAAATGTTAGAAATATCAGGCTATAGTATAGGGTGCCCCAGTTAACAATGACTAGCTCCAATAATAGACTAGTTAATGACAATAGAACTCATTGGGAATGTTTGATATTGGAAATATTCTTATTTTAACTAAAATAGAAAATTGTTATTTTCTACTTTATAAATATTCAAATATATATGCAATTCACATTTTGCTTTTTTTTTTAAATACATTAGCTTTTCTTCAAATAAATCATAATAATTACATCTATCAGAGAAAGTGAAACACATTTTTATTTATTAAAATTCTGTGTTCATAGCTGAAAAAATTCTGTTTATAGTAAATAATAATAATGCCATTTCTTTCAAAAGAAAATACATTTTGATGTTTATTTGCCAGCTTCATTTTCTAAGACTAGAACACTAAAAGAAGCCTAAGGTAAATTAAAACTAACACTTGCTAACTCCAATGAGGAAAATAGTACTGAGAAATTTATTTTCTGTATTTGTTTGTTCTTTAAAAAAAATAAATGATTCTACAGATTTCAAAAGACATATAGCATTAATAAAATTATGTGTACAAGTCATGCTACTTGTGGAGGATTTGTTGTTATAATGCTAGAAACTACAATGCATAAAATATTATATTATTCAGCTCTGCAGAAATAATTATATAAATATTTTTCTATTGTCCCCACAAATGGGCTATAAAATCACAGTCTGCTTTTTGGATAAATCCCTTTCTCTATAGTGTTTTTTTTTTTTTTTTTAATTATAACTAGGAATGCATTATAACTGTTGCAAAGGACAACATGTTTGAGCAAGTGTATATTCTTAAAGTACTCAAAGCATTATATCTTACAAATTCACATATGTTTAAGAAACAATAACATATTTTAAATTTTCCAAAAACAAGCTCATAAAGCTACTTTTTCCCAATACCCATTTCAATGATGTACTTTATTTATATTCCTCACCTGGGGATAAGTTTTGAGAAAGAGAAACACCTATGTGAGAGAGAAACATTGATTGGTTGTCCCCTTTATGCACCCTAACTAGTGATTAAACCAGCAATATGCTATGTGTCTTGACCAGAGATTGAACCTCCAACCTCTAGGTGTATGGAAGGATGCTCCAACCAACTGAGCAACCCGGTCAGGATTCCATAATGTGCTTTAAAAAAAGACAATCACTATATGTAGCCCACATTTAAGGAGTAAAGAGTCATGTTTCACCTCTGAAGTGCAAAGTATCTGCATACATTATTTGAAATTATTCTGTACATAAAGCACATGTATTGTTCCCTAATTTTTTATTCAATCATTTATTTTTACCAGGTGAACTCATGGATGATTATTTTGTATAATAATTAACTACTAATTTATATTCTTGCTCAAATTATTCTAGCTTTGGTCATTGGGAGTACCCTCAGTTGGCTCCTGTGTCCCTTGGACATGCAGTCATAATTTTGGTTTTTTTTTATTAATTCCTTGGTTTGTGGTATTCTCCACACTTATTTGTACACATGATCTCCTTGTCTTGAATCAACTAAATCTCCAAGGAGACCTGATTCCTTTTATTGGAGGATAGCATAGGAGGGGGAAAAATCTGGGCATCAGGCAATTGTTATGCTAAGTGAAGTAAATCAATCAGAAAAAAAACTAAGAACCATGTGATTTCACTCATACGTGGGTCATAAAACTGAAACTCATGAGCAGAAACAGCAGTGTGATAGTTACCAGAGGAAAGGGGGTGGAAGGAGAAGGGGTCCTAATATATGGTAACAGAAGATTTGACTTTGGGTGGTGGACACACAGTGAAATATACAGATCTTGTAACATATCTATAATTATAATGCTAGAAACTACGATGCATAAAAACACTGTACCATTCAGCTCTACAGAAGTAATTCTATAAATTTTTTTTAAAAAATCATTTTTAAAACATCTACACCTGAAACTTATATCTTCATGTTGACAAATGTTATCTTAATCCTATTTAATAAAAGTCTAATATGCAAATTGTCCCCTCCACTGGGAGTTTGACTGAGAGTTCAACCTGGAGTTCAACCAGGGTACGGGGCTGGCCGGCCAACTGCCTGTGGCTCCTACCCCTGGCCATGAAGGAATTCATGCACCAGGCCTCTAGCAAATTTAATAAAAAAGTAAAAAATAAAGCAATTTTAAAAATATAAAGTTAGACTATTATGTATGTATCTTTACAACTGTATAATTAAATATGTATTGTCATCCTACCTAACCAAACATTACATAATATTGTCTATTGTATGGATTTTACATAAATGTGTTACAAAATTATTTAAAATTACAATTAATCAGGTGATGATTTCTCATTTCTGGCAAACAATGGTATTTATAGGACATATCTCATTTAATCTCTATTCAACTCAATGAGGTAGGCATAATCTCAATTTTATTTAACAGACAAGAAAACTATAATTTAATGAGATTAAACAGATGTAAAATATTTGAAATTAGGCATGCAATCTTATATTTCTATTAATAATTATAAGAAGCTATCTAAGAAAATTAGGTGTAACTTTTAAAAATATTTCACCTGGCCAGTGTTGATAAATGGTTAGAACATCAGCCCATGAACCAAAAAGTTGTAGGTTTGATCCCCAGCATTGGTCAGAGTACATGTGGGAGGCAATTTATGATGTGTCTCTCTCACATAGATATTTCTCTCTTACCCTCCCACACTGCTTTCTCCCTTCCACTCTCTCTTAAAATCCAATGGGGGAAAAAAATCTTCTGGTGAGGATTAAAAAATATAAAAATAAATACAATAATCCAAATTGATTATATTTAATTGAAAAGTAAGGTGGTTAAATGTGTAAGTCAAGTTCATTGAACTACTGGGTACCCAGATTAAACCTTTTATCAGTGTGTGTCTGTGAAATTGTTTCTTGATGAGATTACCATTTGAATCAGTGAACTCAGTAAGGTAGCTTGCTCTTTCACTATCTTTTGGCATCAGCCAAATTTAAGAGGCTCCCACTAGAAAACACACACACACACACACACACACACACACACACAAAGTGTAGGAAGGGAGAATTTGCTCTTTCTTGCCTGCTTACTTGAACTGCATTATTTTTCTTTTGTCCTTCAACTGAGATTTACAGCACTGACCTTCCTGGTTTTTAACTTGCAGATGGCAGGAGTGAGAATTCAAACATCCTATAATTGTGCAATTGTATGATACAATTTCAGAGAGAGAGAGAGAGAGAGAGAGAGAGAGAGAGAGAGAGAGAGAGAGAGAAGGAGAGAGAGAGAGAAACAAGAGAATCTCCCATTGCTTCTATTTCTCTGTAGAACCATGACTGATATAGTTTTTAAAATTTGTGGCTTAGAAAATGATACTGGAGTTTAAAGAAGTATTCAATGATTTTTATATACCAGTACTAGTTTGCACAGTATTTTATCAAATATATATTTTACAAGGAAACCATCTATTTATTTATTTAAAAAAACAACAACTATAGTTTCTTAACTTAAGCTAAAGAAGTATGATCAAAGTTGAAATCCATTAAAAAAGTATATGTTAATGGCAACTATATTTTAAGCCAAATATAGCTACTTCCAAAAATTAAATAAGTGATTCTATTATAAAACAATTTTATGAGAAATGAAATAATAAGAAAAGGTATTTTAAACATAAAGTGATAGGGTGCTAAGATATTTCTTACTTTTCAGTGTGTCATTTGGTTGTAATGGTGATCTTTTTAATAAAAAACTAAGATAAATGATTATAGTGGATGAAAAAACGAAACTCATTTCAGTCTCCGTAAGGGATAATTGGTTGGTCACTTTAGGAGCTGACTTTAATAATGTTGTTGGAAGACTGAAATGAGTTCAGACAAGAGACAGACCTGCGTTTTAATTATGTTTGCTTGTCCTCCCTTGGTGATCATTACCTTTAAATGGGGCCACACAGCGGAAGAAGCAATTCCCAGGTTGATCAATGCGCGAGCAGCTCCATTCTTGCAGGGATGGGAAGCACACGCATCTGCATCTATCTCTCAGGTTGTACCTTTGAAAAATAGTAAGTTTTCAAAGGAAAGCAGATACCAGATTATAATTCTTAAATTTGTCTAAATCGTTTAGTCTACTCGGGGTGTTAGCAGAGACTAAACTCATCAAATAAGAGCACCACACACATTAGTGTCAGAACTCTTTAATTTCACCTTACTAAAACTGCAACCACTTCTCTTGAAAGTACATCCTACAAGCTAATCTGAGGAGGTAAGCATTCAAAGTCTGCTCAGATGAGAACCAATTTATATTCTACTTTGGAGTCTAGAAATGGAATAGGATGTTTTGAGTTACTGGGATGCAAATCAAATGTTAGGCTAAATGAAATTAAAAGGGGACAAAAAATATATACTACTGAATCAATAACTTCCTGATATAATTCCCCAGTGCTAAGTGATATTTACAAGGCACAACTGTCAAGTTACTTACCAAGAAAGCCAGGGACACAGATGCATTTGAATTTATCCATGAGCTCTGTAGATGTAGTGTTATGGAGGCTGGAAGGTAAATCAAATTTCTTTCCATTAATTTCACAAAACAGGCCTACATGGAAAGAAAAAAACCAGAAGTGTCCATTATCTATAGTCTTAATGTTTTCTTTTAACTAGTTCTGCAATGCAGAATTTCCAATAATGCTACACCTATAATTGTATTGCCATAACTACCCTTTCATATCATATCACTTGGATTGTTTCTTAATATGCAAAGTGCTAGAAACAGCCTAAATGGACATGGAATTAATTTTTAAGACTGATGACAGCTAATTTTTTTTTGCTAATTTTCAACAAGGATAGACAAATTTACACATTATACTTACAAACAAGGTAAATGGAAATTTTCTTAAGTCTTAATTTTTTCTCTAAAATAGTTAAATGAATATGGGCTAGGGAAAATTAATGTAATATAGATCTAAATAGGAAAAATCATACCTAATTAAGTAGAAAATCTACTTTTATAACTAGTATCCTATATAATAAAGAATTAATATGCAAATGGTCATTACACTGTGACGTGTAATGACCAAATAGCAGGTGGGGGGTGGGGGCAGTGAGCTGAGCTGTAATGGGCCAGATTCATGCACAGGGCTACTAGTCATTAATGAGATGATATATTAAGAGGAAATATGACATTAGGACACCAGGTTAAACTGAAGAAAAAAGGCAAAAACAAAAAATAATATGAGTCTATAATACTTTGTTTAAACCTTAACAATATTTATTTGGTAATTTTCCTTATGGATGAATTTTGTGAAGGGAAAAAAGGCACATTTAAAACTCTGTGTTTTTTGTTTTGTTTTGTTTTGTTTTGTTTTGTTTTTAGTAGATGGGGATATAGCAAAAGTGATTTCTTCGAAAGACCTGGTATTTGCTCTCTATCATACAATTTTAAGAAACCACTTTGAGTTTTTGTTGATGATAATGGAGAACAGTTTTTATAGTGCCTTCATTTTTTTCCTGAAGATGATCATTCTTAAGATTGACTATGTAAAACCAGTTTTCCAGATTTAGTAGGAAAAATGCTATTGCATTCGTGATTTTCAAAACAAATTTAAGTTTATTACTTATTAAAAATAATGTTTTATCAATCAATTATTAACATAGAAGTAGAATTAGGAACAGTTTTGGTTAGTTAGAATTTTGGGTAACATTTTGGCTTGTAATGTTGGCAATTTTGTCATATTTGCTCGCATCTTAGGAAAGTATTGAGAGTCCTACTGCTTTTTTTTTAATCTATGAAAATAAAGGTCCGCCTATTGTTAGTTTCTTCCTACTATATATAAAAAAAACAACAAACCAAAAACAAAATAAACAACAAAAATTCACACATATTTTAAAATGTAATGAGCTCTTTATCAAAAATAAGTGACATATCTGGTCAAGGGTAACTTAAAGAGTTACCATAGTAACAAAATGAAATGTGTTGTAAAAATAAATAGTTCATGTTTTAAGTATAAGTGTCCTGGATTTATAGTTTATAAGTCTCCTAAAAAAATAAACATTCATTTACAAAAGCAAAATATTCATACCACACTGAATACACCTATTCCTATTATGATGTGAAGATGTAGTAAAATAATCCAAGTAGATATTATATATTCAAATGTTCTTTTGGGAAAAAATCATTTGTATGCCCATGTAATAAATTGTGTCTTCTAGAAATAGAGTTACTTACATCTCAAATTAACTCTCAGTTATCACTGACCCTTGGTTATCCTATGTGTTTACCTTGAAATTCATCCTTACACAGGACAGCAAAGGTGCTGTGAAGATTAACACAAGTGTTTGCATTTGCACAGGCATCACCTGGGCACTCACTCATCTACCTCTATCTCACAGTTCTTACTTAGAAACAAGGAAAGGATTCATTTAATCACAAATGTGTTACTGATGCAACCTACAACTGACTCAAGAATATGTTTAGAACGTATGAGATTTTCGACTTGTCTGAAAAAAAAAAATCAACACATTGCCTGATGCTATCAAATAGATATTTACTTTTTTCTGTTTTAGTTTTTATGTGACTGTGGCTTTATTCTTAACTCAGTGAAACTAGGAGAATTCAAAATTTCCATTATTTTCTTAGAAGTAAACATACATGACTGTAATTAAATCACAAAGTTAAAAAGAGCAACAGTAATAGAAGAAATAAAAGAAGGCACTATTTAACAATGTGTTTCTCTATTTAGTGGACTTGATGGTAAGAACTGATCTGAAGTGCTTTTTATTCTATTGACTATGTTCAATGCTTAAATTTTAATAGTGTTACCGTTTTAAGAACATTTTGTGAAAATAGCTCACCTCTCAAGAAACACTTGAATTTAAATGGATGAGCAAACACAAGGTTAGTGTGAAGCTCATAAAAATTACCAGTTCTGTGATTATCATTAGGTAAACTAGGATTTATGATTCTCAATTTTCTAATAAAAAATCAAAGAAGTTAGTTATCTTTAAACCAGTTTTTTGTTATACTCTATATAAAGCATTCTGTGAAATATTCTCCCATGATTTATATAACAGCCTGAGAATTATTCAATAAATCCTTTTTACTGTTCTTTGAGGTTAATTTATAATCAGTACCTCTCTTTTTTTTTTAAAAAAAATCATGAATAAATGTGGTTTACTCTGACAACACAAAGTCAGTACCTCTACTTTAGAATAAAATAATAGTGCTTTTCCAACAAAAATAAATAATCATACAGCAACAGAAATATAGATTTAGCTAGGGAAAAATGAATACATATAAAGGAAGACAAACTTCTTTATGAAAAGTTAAAAGCTGATGAATTGTGAAATGTCCTTACCAATATCTGGCAAATAATAATAATAATAAAAAAAACCCAAAGTGGCATTGTTATTTGCCCAGTTATGAATACAATACTTGGTATGCCAAAATAGAGAATTTCCATTCATTAAAAAAGATTGTTATTTTTAATGTTGAGAAAATGTTTTATTGAGTGTCTGTACCTTTCTCTTGTTATTATTTCATATGCAAAGGCTTTTCGGAGAAAAAACTTGAAATAGATTATCTAAAATTACCTATGTCAGTGTGTTGTTTGTGTATCTCCCGATCAAACCAGAAGGATAAAAATTACACAGGGGTTAGTATCTTTATGTCAATTCTGTAACCTCCATAACAACCATACTGGAGGGATACTGTACTTATTTCTATTTTAAAGGTGTGGAATTTAGACAAATAGACGCTATAAAACTTGCTTACATCTCTCACCTGTGAAACAGTGGCAGAGCTATAATTCAAATCCAAGCAATCAGCTGCAGCATTTCTTAGTTTTTATATGTCATTCATTTTAATGGGATCTCTCACTCCATAGGCTCACCAATATATTTCTGGTTAGTTGTGCCCAGGGAATAATTTATTTGATTACCAAATGGCATGTGGCATTCCCAGAATCTCCTGTTCTGATTCTTCCTATCAAAATGTTGCTTGTTGTGATGCCTTCTGTCAAAATATTTTGGGTCCCCAAAATATCAGTGAAGAATTCTTATCAAGTATTACCCCAAAAAGCTGATGCAGAATTTCCAAAGTGAACCACTCCTAAATTCCCATAATCACCCTAACTGAATATGCACCCACTTATCTGTGTATACCAGCAAGCCCTGTCCTAGAGAAGGTTTGAGAAAAGTGAAGTGCAACTCAGGGACTTAGTCAAATCCAGAGGAGAAAAAATGCAGTGGGTTTTAAAAAAAGGAATTCAAATATATGGCTAAAAATATCATATTGGAAATATTTTAATTTGTCTACTAACTTTATCCAAATACTAGAGGCTTGAGGCATGAAATTTGTGTATGGGATGGGAGGGGTGTCCCTCAGCCCAGCCTGCACCCTCTCCAATCCTGGACCCCTTGGGGGGTGTCAACTGCCAGTTTAGGTCTGATACCTGTGGGATCAGGACTAAACCAGCAGTCAGATAACCCTCTCATATTCGGGACCACTGGCTCCTAACCACTCACCTCTCTGCCTGCCTGATGGCCCCTAACTGCCTCTGCCTGCTTGCCTGATCACCCCTAATCTTTGACTGTCTGCCTGATTGCTCCTAACTGCTCTCCCCTGTGACTTGCCACCCCTAACTGCCTGTGCTTCAGGCCTGCCACTGTGGCTTTGTCCAGAAGGACGTCCGGATGGTCGACCAGAAGATGTCCAGTCTAATTAGCATATTACCCTTTTATTAGTATAGATTTCTAGCGCACAGAAGAAACTATGGCTAGTTGCACTATTTGCAGTTGCACCATTATGCTAATATAACAACACATTACCGACTCAAGAGAAAGAACAATTGCTCTTGCTACTAAGGCCAGGAAGAAATGACACCATGAGGTCCTTTTAGGATATGAGTAACTTTTCTGTACATCTTTGCAGATAACAAAATATGAGTTTCACACAGCAGTTTCTTTTCTGTTTTTATGCACACCAGAGTTAAAAAAAAAATCTATTGAATTTAGTGCATTTTTCTTCTTAACTCCATTCAGAAGTGGATTATGG